ATGAAAAGAACTGTAAAATGTAATTATTTTTATATGTGGACAAAAAATGATGACATTGCCTACACACATCATACATAATTATAAATTAGTAATAGTATGCATTTCGATTTGCATGAATAAATTTAGATATTCATAGACTAGATTAGTCACAATATTTTTATACTAGTCTCAAAATTATTTTAACATTAATTATTTACGGTAATTATTTCTATGACATCATTCGCACCAATGATTGTCTTTTATTTTATACAAACAACTTTTAAAGATAGAATATCTTTTCAGTATTTATCCCTAATTTATGCCTACATAATATTTTTAGACGATTGATTTTTATTTTAAAAAATGCAGAATCTCTGTCTAAGTTAATGGATTCAATCTACATTTCTTATTGTAGACGATCGTTCAAAAACATAATTATCTCATCTTGATAATTAAGATCAAAGACATAATATATGTATACGTTTCGAGAATGTACCATTAGCCACTTGAAAAATTAAAGCAAGTTTTTTTTCTTCCATACTCAATAACGTTCAAACAAAAAAATTCCTCCTATGAAAACTGTATCTTATTAATTATATGGAATAAGTATTTATTTTGACGATCATTCGAGAAGCCTTCTAAAGTATCTACTGACGAATCTGTCTCATAATGTATTATTGAACGAAATTCGTTGCTTAATATATCTATTTATTTATTTTTAACTAACTATATTATTCTTTCTTATTATTTGCTCTTTTCTCGCTCTATATCTTAGTATTATTAATAGAATGAACGAACATCTATTTCCTTTTTACTGCTAATCTATTCATTTTTGTTGATATCGAAGCCGTAGTTACTTTTATTTTATTTTATGTGTATCTCAAACACTAGATCAGCTACAACTATCTGCTTTCCACCAGATATGATTCAATAGAACAAATTGTGTTTTACGTAACGAGCACTTTTATCGTAGTTGTCCTTCGAGTAATTGTTTAATAAGAATGTTTATTGGACCTGTATCAGAAATTCTCAACAACAAGGTAACAAAAGACATTTTTTTCATATAATGTTCAATCAACTTATTGTTCAATATAGCATCAGTAAGAGCACTAGAAAATGCATGATACATTCTATTTTAATTGATATATCATGTTGGAATAGTTCTCGTCGTCTTCTATATATAGATCAATCGTAAATAGATCTTCGCGTACTATCTCATTCACGCGTTTCTTCATTTATACAAACGTGACGCAGAAAAATCACATATGTATTACATGAGATTTCTCCGAAGACTGTTGCTAAGACTACGGAAAGCTATCTATTTTAATTGTTGATGATTTCTGGCATAGGTTAAACAAACATCCTTATTAAACAATTACTCAGAGAACAGCTACAAAAAGAAGTACTCATTACGTAAAGCACAATTTGTTCTATTGAATCAAGTTTAACACGGAAAACTTTAATAGGATAGGAGCACACTAATTTGTAAAAAGAAGTGGTTGAATAATTTTGGAATCATTACTAGAGACTACAGGTTATAGGCTGATAAAAATCAGCTAGACATTGTTTTTTGTTTCAAACACTTTACAGTAGAAATTAAAGAAAAATAATAATAAGATAATAATATTACATCTTCCATCTTAAAAATTAAGAATACTTCAAATATTTTGAAAGACCATTGTATTCTTTTACTTTATAGAAAATCAACGACAGGAACTAAAGTATCGATACGTATTAGGTTTTTGTATCGTATACGAATCGTACAGATGAAATGATGAGAAAATATTGGTATTTTCTCGAAAAAAAAATAAATAACTCATTGACTGTTTACATTCCAGAAAAAAATGGATTCTAGCATTACTTATACGTGAACATTAAGACTAATGATTTATTCAGATTCTTGCTTCGTGGAAGCTAATCTGGTGTTCGAGAATGTGATGCTCTTCGATCGTCACAGCATGTAAAATACTGATCTGGACAGTATCGTTTGTTACTAAAAGTTTTGTATATAACCTATGCATTTATTTCTAAAGTTTCTCAATTAATTTTTTATGTTATCAATATTTATACAACGTTCTACTGTAAAACTCTCATTTGTTCGTTTTTCTTCTGTCTAATAAAGTGCATAATCATTTTTAATGGTCATTTATACAAAATAGTGGCATGAACGTTCAGATGTATCCTTTTTCTATGACTTTGTTATGAAATTTGTGAATAACATAATTTCGTTGTCAAAAAAAAAATAATATATATGTTCACGATTTGAAAAACTAAGTATCAAGGACAGTGTAATAAAAAATAAAATATTTAATAAACAACATTCGATACAAGGATACTTTGTTGTTTTTCCTTAATGCCACCACAGTTGAATGGCTAAGTGGTTTGGCATGTATCTGCAAGGTACTGTACTAAGCCGTTTGTATCACCAGCTATGAAATGACCTTGAACAAGTCACTAACAGCTATTTGCCTCGAATCATCCTTTTGATAGCATGCTGACTACGTTATGATATACATTCACTCTTGTGATTAGTTAATGTGTATGAAGAGCACCAAACTATTGAGCGCAAAAACTCTGCGTCAGGCCGATCTTCTATTCAAGGCTGCAGTTAGTCATTGTTGTAGAAGAGATATCGTGCTATTGAATCTGTCATTAAGCAGCATCCCATATCCGCAAAGTAGTCTTAAGCCAGGAATAATTATTCTTCCTTCCTTTGATTAATCATGTCGTAACTATGATATGAACAATAATGCAGTCACTTCTTAGTCAAACTTTTCTACCAGTTCTGTTTTCTTTTATTATTGCTTCATACATTGAAGTGTTAATTTATTCTGTTTTCTAAATCAATAAATTTAATTAAATTTGGTCTGTATCGACTTCATCTTTGAACATTCTCAATGATCTATATCTTGTTAATTTTTTTTTTCTCTGATGATTCAAATTCTTTGATCGACCATCGAAATTATAATATGTAAATAAATAAATAAATAAATTTCTTTTTTTTTTTCAATATTCTATCGTATTCCACAAACATCAAGAACTTGTCTCTTTTTATTTTCTTTGCATTAATCAAACACACGTGTGTATGTCACACAGAGAAATACATAAACAAGTGACACGCATACACACATACATAAAGAACAACAAGCAGAAAAAAGAGACCAAAAAAAAAGAAATGAAAAGAAAAGAAATTTGCACCACCACAACAAACAACATGGACAATGATGACAAACATTGATATCAATAATGATAACAAGCCGTCGCGAACAATATGAGCACATGCGTGCAATATCGGAGAAGCATACACAACAAACGAAAGAGAAATAAAGAAAGAAAAGGTACGAAAAAGTTGATGATAGTGGTGGTGCTCACTGCATATCATCCACCATTGTGGTGAATTTCTTCCATTCATAATGAGCGATCGATTAGGAAAATGTGCATTACAAAAAAAAACCGAGAAACAAAACGAAGGAGAAAAATTCCGAAAACAAACGCAAATTTTTATCACAAAGATTCGCGTAATGATGGCGATGGTGATGGTGAATTATATCGTTTGTGATGATGTTTCTTACGTTTTCGATGTCGTCGATATTGATCATCTGTTGTTAATGATGGTGAGGATGAATTGAATTGTGATGGTGATGATAAAATAGGTGAACGTGATTGACTTCGATCACTATCTCGTCGTGATCGTTTGCGATGATGATGAGTATTTTTGTGATGGTGATGATGATGATGATGATGATGTTTATGAGATTTTTTCTTTTTTTTCTTTTTTTTATGTTTCGTTGTCGATGATGATGAATTATTTGATTGTTCATCAATTGATTTTGTTTGAGAAGAAAGAGACGCCGAAATCGAAGTTTGAATAGGAATAGGAATAGAAGATGAAGAAGGATGCTCTGATACGGATGGTGATATTTCGGATTGATCGATTCGTTGTTTTTTAATTGCTGGCTGTTGTAAATCAGATGAATCATCATTATCTTCATCATCATCGTCATCATCATCATCATAATGATTATATGACTTTGAAATTGATGCGAGTCCATTGAGTGTTGATGATGGTCCAGATGCTTTTATGATTAATTTTAATGGTGATGAAGTCGATTGTACAGTTGATAATGAAGTTGACGGAGATATGGTATAATTACTATTCTTTGTTGTTGATAAAACAATTGGGTTTGAGTTTGGTTTATTAACAAGTTTGGAAGAGAGTGGTGTTATTATATTTGGATTTGTAATCGATTTATCTTGTAGTGGAACCGGCTAAAGAAAACAATTTTTAATATAGAAAAAAAAAAAAAAAACTTTCATTGTTTACCTTAGTTGGTAGAAAATTAAGTTTTGGAATGCGCATTACAATTGGTGCTCGTTTTTCAGTGGACAAAGCACTACCACCATTTGTTGATTCTGTATTAGATGATACGATTGAAGGTTTTGTCAAAGATGAGGACATTGTTTTCATATTTCCATTTTGTCCATTTACTAGATCAAAAAAAAAACATAAGTTGATATTATCAACAATCTCGCAATTTTATCTTTCAAGATTTATTAGAACAATAAAGATCTCTATGTTCATTTGTCAAGTTTCTGATTCGAGATAAATCAATGATAGCTTTTATTTTCAATTCTTGAATCTTTTTAGTAAATTAGTTTATAGCATAGTATATTTGTGAAATACGATCTAAAAGGAGTTTTGAAGTATAAGGATAAAAATTTTGATTGCTCCCACCCCACAGATCATGACAGACGCTAGCCAGAAATCGCTTCAGGATGGAAGAATACTGTTGCCTTGTGGCTAGCTTTCGATATACGGCACTGTCTAGTGACAGATGCAGTAGCTCGATATCTTCCACACACATAACACTAACTACAATTCGGATAGAAGATCAGGTTCTAGTGCAGAGTTCTTGCGGTCAATTATTTGAGTTCTTCGATTACGCTTACTAAACACAAACACAGGTGTATATCATAACTTAGTCAGCATGCTATCGGACGGGTGATTTGAAACCAATACTCAGTAGTGATTTGCTTAGAATCACTTCATGACTGTTGGTACCAAGGTTTGGACTGTCAGACTACATAGTCATTTAGCCATAGTTGTCAGCAAGAGATTGTGACAAACACCATAGCAATGTTCTCCATTTTTGTCACAGATAATATATCAATCATGTCTTGTTATAATATATATGAAGTACTCCGTTACTGCATATCTGAAGGATTAAGTAAAAGGATACTAGAAAATGTATTCCAACACTTGATAGAATAGAAACAATCTCTTCATGACGATTAACAACAGCAGCTACATCTTATTTCATATATTAATCGTACAGAGATTGTACTAACAGCTTTTCTCTATTAGTTGAATATTTTATTCATCATGTTTAAGTAACATTATATTAAACTATAATTAGTTCATTAAACTTCTTAATAAATAATCTTCTTTACATTTTTCTTATGAGTTCATATTAGATTACGAGACATACATCTGTTCAAAGATCATATTATAAGTACTAACAGGAAAAGTAAATATTTATTATGCTAATATATGTCAATATGTTCTCTGTATCAAAAAAAAACAGAGAATTTCTTAGTGATACTATTTCATAAATAATTTTCAAATCTAAATAATTAACTAGTCGAAAATATAATTTTTTTTTTCTTTCTTCAACAAAAATAAAAAACATTCTATAATAACTATAAATCAAATAATTTAACATACCTTGTTTCGAAAGATTTTGAACAGGTATTTGACGTGGTGTAAAAAACGTATTATTATTTGTTGTTGATTGTTGTTCACTGTTATTTAATTTTCCATTTTGATAAACAATTTTACTAGTTATTGCTGTTGTCGTTGTTGATGGTGTTGGTGTTGTGGTCGTTGTTATTAATGAACCATTTGTTGTATTATTTGTTAATGGTGTTTCTTTAATATAACATAAAATATATGCACCATGTTGTGTTAAAACTTGATTTAAATCACATTGTGTCATTGTTGTATCATCAGCTTTATACCAACGATTATTTGGTGAACGTACATAAGAAAAATAATGTCCTGAATGCATAGATGATCCAACATGTACTAAAACAGCATATAAACGATAATTTAATGATTGATCATTGGAATTTTCTTCACTCATATATGGACTAACATTTAAATATTCAGGATAACGAACAAGATGTGATAATTTATGTGAATTTTTACCAAATTCAAAACGTTTTAAATTAATTAATAAAATTTTTGATGCTTTATGTAATGTATATCGTTTAATAGCTTGTACTAATTGTTTACATTTAATACAACGATATAAATTTTCACCAGATAATGTTTCACGACAAACAAATTGTTGTAATGATTGTCGTAAATCAGTATGATTACGTACACCAACAATCCATGTATATTGTACTTCAAATGTATCAGATGTATGACGACAACGTGAACATACAACACGTGAACGTAAAACAAGACCAAATAAATCATGAAATATTGTTTGTGAATGACATAATTGTTCATATGATGTACCAGATGATGGACGTAAACGTTCTGGTGGTTGTAATGAACGTAATGATGCATCAACAATTTTATCAATTAAACAAATAAGAAATTCACTAGCATCCTCTTGACGACCAATTTTAAATGTTGTTGATATATCTTTTATACGACGAACAATATTATTTGGATTAGCAGCACCAACATTTGATGTAAATGATGAATTTGTATTTTTTGAATGTATTAATTTAACAATACGTTCAGCTTCACAAAATAAACAAAATTGTTTTTCTAATTTAACACGACAACATTGAAAATGAGAATTACATAAAAGCCATTGAACAAGTGGTGGTGTATTAGCTAAACATTGTAATGATGCATTTATAAAACATGTATTACCAAGATTTACTAAACCGGAACCACGATCTTTTAATAATTCCCAATTCATCATTAATGATGAATTACTATTTGGTGTTGATGATGATGGTGATGATGAGGAAGATGTTTCAGAAGATGGAGATGATGAATGATTACCATTACTACATGAAACATATGTTGAACAATATTGATGATTTGAATTTGTACCATTCGTTGTATTATTATTAAATGTAGTTAATAAAACATCATTATTAGCCGGCATGATTAAATTATTTATATTTTCACTATTATTATTATTATTATTATTATTATTATTATTACGAGTTATTGTATAACGTTGACGTAATTTATCTAATGGATTTTTTCTATATGATTTAAAGAAAACTTTTTGGTTTAATATTGTATGACGTTTATGTTCAGTAGCAATATATTCGTGATTTAAAAAATGTTTTATTGATTGTTGATCATTTGATAATGATGAATTTGTTTGTTTTGACAGACGCGAAGATAAATAGCGTCCACAAACATCACCGAGATCAGTTTTGGGCATAACCTATATAAAATAAATATAGAATAATATGAAATTATTATTATTTATATATTTTCTTTCATTTTTTTAATTTCCAAACCAAACAAATAGATCATATATATATATATATGTATAAGAAGATACTATATATGAAATTAGAGTATGTAAATTTGTTCCTCGTAAATCTATAATTTTTATTTTATTTTTTTACCTATTTATCCATGATGAAATAAGAAGTCATCGCACAATCATATTAATGATTTAGTCTATAATGGAATGAGACTCATTTTGTTGAGGATGATACACACACACATACATACAAATTCATGCAAGCATTACGCATACATACCAAAGAAAATTAAAATTTATTTGACTTCTATGAACAATTTTAGATGCCATAGGATAAATGAAAAGGATCTAAAAAATTTATAGACATGTTTATTTCATGTAATCAAAATTCATTGAAAAACAAGAATACAAAGTTAGCACTAAGAAATCTTAACGCTACTCTACGATTTCACGTCGCCATCAATGTCGAACGAATAAACATGTACCCGTAAACCATCTTTGTTCAAAATAAATCTTAGATTTAAAAAAAAAATTATTTTCAAAAAAATTTTAAAATTCATACAAATCAATCTTTTTCTATAAAAATTCTAAAAAAAAAAAATATCAACGAACATATAGCGTCCTCTTTTATTTTATATGTGATCAAACCAATCATCAATGTTATCTGTGTCATATTCGAATACTCATACAGTGCCTGCCCGACCGACACATTCTTTTTGACAAAGAACCAATACAATAAAATTTATATAGTCACAAGAAGGAAAACATAACAAAAATGAATACATTGGGTAATACTGATAAAACTAGTTCCGGTGCAAGTAGTTCATTTACACGTCTTGGAATGTATACTCAATATTTACTTGATCGTACAACGCCATTTATTAGTGGTCGTTGGTTATTCAATTTAATATTATTAGCTTTGTTTTTTCTTCGAATTTTTCTTGTTCAAGGCTTTTACATAATAGCTTATGGTCTTGGAATATTTTTACTTAATCAATTTATTCTTTTTCTAACACCAAAACAAGATCCATCATTAATTGATCTAGATAATGACGATGGTGATCATGCACCACGTTTACCAACACGTTCTTCAGATGAATTTCGACCATTTATGCGTCGTTTACCGGAATTTAAATTTTGGTATACATCATTTAAAGCATTAGTTATAAGTTTAGTTTTAACAATCTTTCCAATATTTGATATACCAGTATTTTGGCCTGTACTTGTCATCTATTTTTTTACATTATTCTTTTTAACTATGAGACAACGTATAGCACATATGATACAATATAAATATGTTCCATTTACACATGGAAAAGTTAAATATGCTGGAAAAAATGAAGGACCACCAGGTGGAGCACCAGGAATTAAAATTTCATCATATTAATTTATAGAAAACATTCTTTTCATTGATTAGGTTATTTTCTTTTTCATTGTTGATTGTTTTTTCTCATGCGGAAATGAAATATATATTTACTTTTGCGATTCTTGTTTCATCTTGACTATAATACTTCTTATGTTTGTTTATTTTGTCTTTGTTCTCTGTTTCTTTCATCATTTTTTTTTATTATTTATTTGTGTTTTTTCAATATACAAAAAAAAAAACAAACAAGAAAACAACTAACAATAAAAATAATAGTGCGTCTCTGAGTTTATACATCTGCTTTATTTGTTGTTTGTTTTGTTTCGTTTTTCAGACTTCTTACTGGTGTTGATATTTGTAAACATTATGGGAATTCATAATTTGGCAAAATTAATTGCTGATCAAGCACCAGCTGCTATTAAAGAAGGAGAAATGAAGAATTATTTTGGTCGAAAGATTGCAGTCGATGCGTAAGTTTAACAAATTATGTTAACAAATTTATTTCTGCAAGTGATAAGAAAATGATTTTTGCCGACGTGGCATGCTAGAAGTCATACAGGTTGAAATATTTGAGTCCATTTGAAAGAATATTTTCGATTCAGTACATGATCATCACTAGTAATAAACAATCAAATAGTTCCATATACAGATGAGAGCTGGCATGACAAACTAAAATTGTTGGTCTGGTTCTTACATTTTGGAAATCAAATGTTGATGTATAGCATTACTATTGGAGATTTCGTTAACAAACTTATTTTGTTCCAGTCAAAAAATTCCTGAGTCGAACATTAATATTGTGATGTGCAACTTACATTGACTGACAGAAGAATTTGTCTAGATGACAAACGATTGAATAGTAAATGTGTCGCAAAAAATTGACTGTCTCGTGTAAATGTTTGTACTTATTATTATAAGTATCGCTTATTGCCGACATTTTCTTCTACCTCTTTGTTGTATGCTTGAACTTTTGTTATTTTTGTTATCATGATTAGATATTTTTCGATCATGTGAAACTTAATAAAAAAATATTGGATTAATTGAAGCTTTCCTTGAATGCAAAATACTTGTGATGATTTTCTCTTTCTTTGATTTTACTGTTTGATCCAAGTACTTGTTATTATCTTATTTTAATGAAGATAAATTAAATGTACCAGAAAAATCTAGAAATATCAACCGACCCGGTTGAGCGTGTCGGCAGACATGCAGGATCTATATGTTTGTGCTAATGTGTGTATAGAGGTCTTTCAAGTCTACTGAATTCTTGGAAAACTGTTGACATTAGGAAACTTTTTTCTCATTTGGAAATTTGAATGAAAAACTGGTTTTTTTATAGCAATAAAAGCACAAACTATATACACAACTTGTGTGATTAATTTTTATATTTAAGCGTTCAGGTGATTATTTGTCGAAATGAAAAATGCTTCTATTAATCGATGATGTATAAAGACATATGTTTTGTATGTTAAGTAAACTGTTTTTTTCTTTACTTAAATAGCAGGAAAAATTGTTCCTTTTAGCAACAGATTCTGCAGGCCACTTTGTGATTTTTAGCCTGATGTAAAGGAATTCCTAGATAAACAACGTCAGAAAAAAGTGATTTGTTGACATCTCTAATATAGTTATATTCAATGCAGAAATGTGCCAATAAATCTAATTATTGATTTGACAACAGCTAAACAATGAATCATCTATGTAGTGACTTTTGTTTCATTTCTAGTAATAATTAATTAAGATTTATGCATGTTCATTAAATCCTACGTGAATTGAGTCTATCCGGTCCAAAATTTTCGGGTCAAGACTCAGTTGAACTTTTCTTTGATATTCTTAATTAAATTTCCTAATCGAAATAGGATAATGACCCTGAAGACATGAGATTTTTTTCCGGTTTTTTTGTATTCGATGACTAACGCACTGGATACATGCCTCAGACGATGAGAGTTCGTTAGATCCCAAGTTTCCCAACTCGACAAGCGTTATACTTAATCGCTTTCTTCTTCTATATATGTATATTGATTATAGTTCAATGTCAATCTATCAATTTCTTATTGCTGTTCGACAAAATGGTGAAAATTTAACTAATGATAATGGTGAAACGACTAGTCATTTAATGGGCATGTTTTATCGAACAATTCGTATGGTTGAAAATGGTATTAAACCAGTTTATGTATTTGATGGAAAACCACCACAAATGAAATCAAAAGAATTAGAAAAACGTCTTGAACGACGTACAGAAGCTGAAGCAGAAATGAGCAAAGCAGCTGAAGCTGGTGAGTATATTTATCAAGAATAAATCAATAAGACAAAAAAAAAAACTCGAATAAAATTAGTAAGAAAAGTAAGAACATTATCTTTTGTCTATTATCAATTGGATGGATCGAGTAAGAAAAATTAGCTATATTTTCGATTTATTTGGGCTTTATTGCTTTTAATTTAAAATACATTTGTTTTTATTTTCATACATTAAAATTCTATTTATTTTACATTAGGTGATGAAGAAGCATTTGATAAATTCGCACGTCGAACTGTTAAAGTTACTCGTGAACATAATGAAGAATGTAAACGGTTATTAAAATTAATGGGTATACCCTATGTTGATGCACCTACCGAAGCTGAAGCTCGTAAGATTTATTTGATTTTTTTTCGTATTCGATTATTATATTTTATTTTATTAAGAATGTGCAACACTTGTCAAACAAGGAAAAGTTTATGGAATTGGTACTGAAGATATGGATGTAAATAAACATCTTATGCTTTCTAATTTTTTTAATTTTAAATAAATGTTTTTAGGCTTTGACATTTGGTGCTGATGTGCTTGTACGTCATTTAACATTTAGTGAAGCACGGTTTGTTAAATATCATAAGCATATATATATATATATTCCAAATCTATATTAAATTTATAGAAAAATGCCTATTCGTGAATATTCACTAGCAAAAGTTCTTCAGGGTTTAGGAATAAATTTTGAAGAAGTATGATTTATTTCATTATTTTATGTGAAATTTGATTTCGTTTTTTTTCTTTTTTTTTTTTAGTTTATAGATTTATGTATTTTACTTGGATGTGATTATTGTGATTCAATCAAAGGCATTGGACAAAAACGTGCACTTGATCTTATTAAACAATATCGTAATATTGAAACAATACTTAAAAATATTGATAAAAAAGTAAATTTTATATGTATATTTATCTTAATTGTTGTTTTATTTAACATAGAAATATGGTGTACCTGACGAATGGGCATATGAAAAAGCAAGAGAATTATTTAAAGAACCTGAAGTTTTATGTGGTGATGCAATTGATGTTAGTTTATTCTATTTTTATAAATTGAATTTCTATATAAATATTTGTATTTTTATATGTTAGCTTAAATGGACTGAACCCGATGAAGAGAATCTTGTAGCTTACATGGTTAATGAAAAAGGATTTGCGTAAGTAGAAAAGAAGAAAATTATTAATTTTTTTCTCATCGAATGAAGTAAAGATGCAAGATAATTTATTTGATTATATATGTAATGAGAGGAAAAAATAACTCATTAATGTACAAGCAGTAAAATATTTAATTCATAGAAGAAAAGAAAAAAACAAATGGAAAATGTTTGAAAAAGTTTTTTTTTTGAATGTTTTTATTTATGGTTGATAATGGCGTGGATTAATTGCATCAAGTACTAAATTAATATCGCCTTGTTTTGTTTGAATAAGTTCACGTAATGCTCCATTAGCATCAATAAAACCCATGGATTGCATTCTTTCCATACAATCCTCAATAGCTTGTTCTAATGGAGTTCTTATTTTAGTTGAACTTTCAACGGGTGGTATTATTGAACTTGCATCATGTTCTTGATTATTATTAATTTGTGTTACATCTGAAGAATTTGATGTTACATTTGAATCTGTTGTAGACATACTATTTGTTGTTGTTGTTGTTGTTGTTGTTGAAATTGGTTCTTCCTGTTGTTCATTTGTTATTATAACTTGCTCTTCTTGTTGTTGATTACTTGTTGTTGATTTTGATTCATCAACATGATAATCACAATCAATACCAAATGGTGATAATGCTTGTTGTAAATATTGTCCAACACTTTCAAGATATTGTTTTGAATTTTGCATTTGTGTTTGAGTATTTGCTTTTAATGAATCAAGATGTTGTTGCACATGTGCTCGAAAATGAGCAGTATTATGACGATTTGGTAACCATTGAGGAATTTGTGCTTGAATTTTTTCAAGATAATCTTGATTTGGTATAAATGGTGGTGGGGGTGGTGGTGGAGGCATATGGGGATGATGATGACGATGATGATGATGATGACCATGAGGATGAGGAAAACTACTTGGTTTTGTTATTTTAATCATATTATGTTCAGAATGAATACCAGCTGATGAACATTTTTCACATAAATCATAATTTGGACAAACAAAACATTTATAACGAAAACCTATAACTGGACCATTACAACCATCACATTGAACTCCAGGATGACACTCTTTATTAGTGGTATTGTCTGGTTGTTGTTGTTGTTCATGCTGTTCATGTTCAGAGATTGATTGATTTACTGTCACATAAATTTTTAAAGTTTTTGTATCTTTATTTAAGGCAATAGCTGAACGTAATTCATCATTTGAACTAAATGTAATATGTTCATTTTCTTCATCATTATATTGAAGAAGAATATCTTGTAATTGATTTTTTGGTAAATGTGATGCAACTTTTGTTTGTAATTCATTATAAACATCATTTTCTGGTGAAATGTCAATCTAAATGAATAAAATAAATTTTTAATAAAACTTACTAAAAATATAACATACTGTAAATCGACGAATTTCTGGTTGTTGATTAGGTTTTGTATAATATGCTTTGATATAATAACTAGCAGCCATTTTGTTATTGCGTTTGAATAAAGACAATCAAAAATGAAGAAAAGAGGAAAAATTTCGTCGTTAATATAGCTTTTTTTTCTTCTGTTTACGTAACAGAACAGAAAGGGCTAAAAAATATAGAGTGATTCATGTAGACACGTCGAGTTCAGAAAAAAAGAACGTATGAGAATACTAGGGAAAAAAAAGAATCAAACTGCGTAACAAGCAATAAGGCAGTGAATCATACAACCCCTCTTATTTTCTATTGTAATGGCCTTTTCTTATCCTTGTAGCAAATAAGAACACAGACATATGAATATGTTTAAGACGGAAAAAAATTTCTCCAATTTGAAATAAAGAAAAAACATTTCATGCATGCCATCTACAATACAGATGTCGTACAAATTCAATAGATACTGCATAGAGACTTTTAGTTATTGATTCAGAGTGACGTGTTCCGATATATTTATCATCAAAATAAAAATTCTTTTTGTCTTTGACTTCTAGTGAAGATCGAATTCGTAATGGTGCAAAAAAATTAGCAAAAGCTCGAACAACAACACAACAAGGTCGCTTGGATTCATTTTTTACTGTATCTCATACTGTTACGGCAACGACACCAACTACAAAAAAAGCCGTACGTATTTATATTTCATATGTTGACAAAATCAAAAGAAATTTTCTTTTCTCAAATAGATTCATGTCATAAAGAAAAAGAAAACTGAATTTCTTTGTTTGTCTTTTTTTTTTTTGTAGGAAGCAAATATTGCTACTAATAAAGGTCTCAAACGAAAGAATGGTCCTACAAATGATAGTACATCGAAAAGTAAAGCCAGTGGTGGTTCTGTTAAAAAATATAAATAAAAACTTCTTTTATCAATTTACTCATACAACTCCGATATAATCAAATCGAGAAATAATTCAACTGTTTCTTTCAAACAATATATTTTTGTTTCGTTGTTATTATTCATAAAAAAATCAGATGGATCTATTTTGTTATTGTCAATATTTTGTTTGATCAATTTATTTCGTTATGGTGCATATCTATAGATATATAGATATTATTTTTTTTTTGGTTCTTATGTGTTAAATGTATATATATATTTTTTTTTTCAAAAAACAAAATCCAAGATATGATCTGGACAATGTAGAAAATAAAATTCTCGCCGGAATAAAAACAAAAACAAAAATTATTTTTTGTAGAAATCGAAAATTTTAATTTTAACAATGTCTTCATCAAGTTCAAAAGTTGAAACAAAAGTAAGCTAATTATACAATCATCATTTCCTAGATTTATTTCATATTAAACATTATTTTAAAAAAAAAATGTTGACCATTTCAAAGTATGTAAAAAGAACATTAAACTAATTATTTTGATAATCACTAAAAGACTAGAAAATTTATTGAACTTATCGTTTATAGCATATTTTAAAGTGATTGACTTTCGAAGATAAAAAAAAATTAAAAAAAACTGCTCAAGAACAAATCATAATCAGTTTTATTGTCAAACATTAAAGAGAAATACATCAATATCTTATTTAGACTCAAGTTGTTAACACACAACGTAATGAGTCCAAAATATCAACATCTGGATCTGTAAGTCTTCTATTTAAAAATAAATGTTGCTTTATAATTCAACTTTAACAAAATCTAATACTGAATGTTCACAGAGTGATTTTGAATTTAACACATAACATAAAACTTGATAAACTTTAATACATAATTATTTCTTACTCAATAGATATATTCTTCAACAACTGAATCAATCTATTCTTTTTTTGTTCCGTTGAAATTTTTAGACAGTTAATGTTAAACAGCCAGAAAAACAAGTATCTTCTAAAATAATTAAAAATGGTACAATTAAAAATTGTCATAGTATATATTTTCTATTAGATATATTCTATTAAATATTTTATGCATCTATCTTCATAGATATTCTCAAATCTATTCAACGTGAATATGAACAATTTGAAGTCAACATGAATGAAAGTGATTAGATAAAAAAAATATGGTGATTCTTTCAATTTTAAGAATATATTGAACATTTTATTATTGACAAAATATTGTTACTATTGTATCATCACTAATTTCTAGTTGCACTAAGTGTGAAATATTTCTTCATTGAATTGCACATTCCTACTTTGATTATTTCTTTTGTAAACAATATACCAATTCTTTTTTTATTTATCTCAATTACTAAACATGAATTACCGCATCAATCATACAAGTGTTACATATCTTCCTTACTTTTATCAAACAGTCATACTTGACTTTCTAAGTTTTCACAGATTAATATCGAAGTTCAAATGTCGCAATATTACGTCGAATCGACCAAACTTAAAAACGCCATAAATGTATCTCGAACAAAAATCAGAACATAAATGATGGAAGAAAGATATGCGTCGGTTAACAAAGAAAAATACTTGTACTTTTTTGAATAGCATGTAAATGCTGATAATTGAAAATTCAATAATCATGCATAACATATCCGATTAAATTAACGACAGCAGCACACATGTAATCCAATCATAAAAAAACATAAGAACTTATATCGAAGCCTAATAAATATTCATTCATTAGAGACTTCTCCAAAGACAAAATGAGACTGAGTTTAAATGATATGTTGAGTTATGACACAATTAAGTATGATACTGCTTAAACAATTTTTACAATAACATATAAAAATATAATTGAATTACCTTAAAAGGATCTATAACTGTCATAGTTATTTTCGTAATACACGATATAAAGGAAGTGTTGAAGTAGACACGGTAGAAATTTGGACTACATTTTCCTCTATCCACCGCTTGTGACAGACGTTCTTCAGAGATCATAACAAACTGTATATTTCCGACGGACTCAGTAAACGAAGAGTGAAGAAATGTGTCCTAAGATTCACAGAATAAAACAATCTGACTATGATTAACAACAGGAATTGTATTGTGTCACATTTTTATCCCACAGAGATTCTACTAACAGATTTTTTCCAATAGTATTAACGTAAATAGAAAACAATTTTTGGTTTGACATGTCTGTAGGTTTTCTCCTGAAGTTCATAATAGTGTAGCGGTCGGCTAAACAACTAAATAAATAGAAAGAAATGGAATAAACTGAATTAATTAGGCGATCATATTACTCATTTACTTTACAAATATGAATGCATCAACACTTTTTTTGGGTTACGACGATGAATGTATCCGACTTCTACCTGGATCTGGTGCCCGATTCTTTACAAGAGAATCACAGCTTCTTCTTATGCTAAATAAACAAGAATGCCAATATAGCTACAATTAACTTTGGCAAAGTAAACTTTTCAAGAACATTCACTATTTTTTAACTTAGACTCGATGTGTTTTTTTTTCGATTCAATTGTCAAGATCAAAATCTTCATTTTCTTTTAGTCATAATTATTCCATCTTCTGCCATATTCGTTGCTAGGATTTTACTACAAAAACTAATTATTTAACACTATTCACTTGACTTAATAACGATCTTTATTTGCCTTGTAGTTTCATCTACATTCCAAGATTTATCATTAAAATAAATGGATTATGAAATACTTACTTCATTTTCCCATACCCACTCGATTCTACATATTCATGTACGTCTTACTTTATCAAAACACTTTTATATATATACAATTTCATCTTACAATAACATACAAAACTAAATCTTCTTCATCATTTCTCACATGATCTATGTCTCATAATATCTAATTACTTCTTTTCTTATTGATATAATCTAGACAAGTCTTACAATCAATTTACTTTCACGTCAAATATATGTTTATTTTTTGTTCATTTCCATATAGTTCTTGTCGTTTTTTTCAGAACTTCTTGACACTGATCTATGTAGTATAGTAGTTCGTTCACTACTGTACAAACATTATATTAAACAAATAGAAAATTTTCTTCATCATAAAAAAATGATTCAGCATACTATCTTCTAAGTTCATATACTTTCATGTACTTGTTATTTTGTTTCCTTTATATTTATCTCTCTTTTCGTTTTAGTTCAATTGCAAAATGCTATCTCACAATACTGATGTCATCAATCGTTTTTCTCATATATTATTTTCAATGACACTACTACTGTTTCAACAGTTTTGCATCAATATATCAAACAATTATTGAATTTTACATTTGATAATTACCACAATGGTATAAACATTATCGTGGAACTTCTCATATTTTATATAGAAAAATCATAATTTTACTTTTTATTGATTTCATTCATATTTGTTTTCTCCAAATTGTTTTTCGAAGAGGAAAAAATTATGAATGTATGATTGAATATATAAACATGAACTTGTCATACTCTGCGTTTGTGTCAGTCAGATAATATTTATTCTGATTTAGCTGCTATGTATGAGACTATATGCTAATAATTGGAAAATGAACAAAGTTCTTGTTTCACCTTAAAATAATAGTATTTAGTCTTCTCATTTTATTGTCTATGTCTTCTTCTTTTGTTCGAAACATACATATGTTTAATGCCACAGTTCGACTTCAAATTCTATGCATCTAGTTAAAATATATAAAACATTTACCAGCTACCTCAAAATTAAAGTGAATGAGAGGTTTTTTTGTTTGTGCAAAACAAAACGATGATTCGAATGTTTTGATATGGATCATTGCAAATTGAGAGAAACGTGCCGGATTGAAGACACATACAACTATAAACATGTGTCGGTACATTTACTCTCGATATACAATTACTTGATCTAAGACATATTGCGTTTTGATAAAACAACTGAATCATTAGTACTTTTTGAAATTAACAGTAGTATTATTGATTGATGTTTGAACAATGGATGATTTTTCTAAATTAACAGGTCAATGGTGGATTAAATACTTTTATGGCAAGCTAATATGAAAGTGCGTCTAACAAAAGAGAAAGTATGATTCTCGGCTAACTCATCACATTTGTACAATATATGAAAAAGTAATCAATCGAAACGAATAGTTTTATTCGAAGAGAAAGAATTAAGAAGAGAGGCAGATTTGTGTTGTCCATTACACTATATTATTAAACATACGAAAGAGTGTGATCTGTTGTTTCAATGTCTTCATTTTCACTTTTGTCAGGCTCGTCTTTTTACATTATTGGTGACTCAATCAATTCTAAAGTTGACAATCTATATTAGGGGTGTAGTATTAGAATTAGTGTTTGTATTCATTCATACTAATGCTAATTTTTAGGCATACATATTAAAACTAACGTTGATTATTTTTTATTATTTTCATTAGAAATAATGAATGTCAAAATGTTAGCATTCAAGTAACATTCTTTTCAACGGTAATACCATAAATTACCAACGACCAAATTTCATATATCGTAACTTTAGAAGTTCTCGAAATTCTCCAGCTCTGTTCTGTTTTGGAAATGTCACTTTCAGTGAAAAAATCTTTGTTCTATTATCAAAAACTTCATACCATGAACTCTCAGACGTACTGTGGCAAATATCATATTTGTTAGAATTAAAAAAATCCTAATTTAATGCTAGCAGCTTGCCAATAATTTTATTCCAATGCCAAAAAAAAATTCTTGTATTTAATTGTTCAGTATTTTCTAATGAACGTTCAATATGGTTTTTTATTTGCCAGCTCAGTAGTTTTGCTCAGTCAAAATTTAGTCTTAGTATGGTGAACAGTTTAAAAAGCTCAGGAATTAATTTGACAAAAGTCAATATTTAACGATGTCGAACATGCATGTTATTCTGTTGGTGTTGGTGTCGGCTTTCCTGACAGTAGCATCTACAATTATACTCACCCTCTGATATTACTTCAATATCAGGCAAGTAGTATTCTAGAAGATTCAAGTCTTTTTGCAATAGCTTAGAAGAAGAACATTTTTCTAAAGAGACAGTTTATTAGGAAGAGTTATATTACGTCTTATTACAGAAGATCTATCGAGTTTTTGGTACATTGATTGTTTCTTTTTCTCAGGTTCCACTAGATGAGTCATTTCCGAACACTTTACCAGCAAATGAACGAAATGTTTGTTTTTCTCTTTAAAAACTAACAGAGAAAACATTCTGAAAGGTTTTTAATAAACTCTTTAAACTAATTCTTACATGGCTTTTTGACAACGATAAACATATGGCAAAATTTCAACAAAAAAAGCCTTTATAACGATGATATGCTGCTCTCCGTTATATGCCAAAAAGGGTATATCATACATTGAAAAGTAGACTAGTGACAGCCATTGAAGAGTCTCATTTCGAAAGTAACTCATCTATCAATGTTTCAAATCATATCAGGTAATGTGTCTAATTGTGAAATTAACTGTAAATCTTACTAGAAAATATATTCGAAATTGAATTACTTTTAAGCTTCGCTCATACTGACTTAACTGTACATATGCATTGTTCTTATTGTTTTTGTTTTGTATGAAATATTTTTTTGAAACAGTCTGGATAAATGTATGCAGAAACAGAGTAAAATATATTATACTAAGCGGACAACAAATGAGTCATCTTAACATCGTAAAACAGCTCTTTGATGTTTTTCTGATTTCCGACGAAAACATTCTGATTTTTCTTTGATTTCGAAACATAAATCTCTACTTTTTAATTTTTTAGTCTAGCCATCATAAGTACAGCATGCTTTTTTCCTTGACACATGATTCAACGCAGTGGGGCAAAAAACTGGTGAGCCGATGTAAGCTCACATGCACCTCATCCTTCGATGTTAGAAAATTAAAATCGTCGATACCGTCACAGGACTACTCAACCGTGACTATAAAGGCTTGAAAAGAACAGCGAGAAAAAGACAAATGAATATAATGATTCATTGATGAGATGGTAGAAAATGCATTGTATATATTGCTGATACATCGAGGAGAGAAAAACATTCAGGTAAGGTCGAAAAAAGGGAAGAAACCCAAACAGTAATTTTATTCATCATGCTTCGTTGTAAATAAAACACAACGTCGATCATATCTGTGCAAAACAAGAAAAATGTTGTTTTATATTTTGACTAGGATGAAGAAAATCATTGAGGTGAAATTCTAGATTTAACTAATAAAGCATGTCTACAATTGTCTATTTGATACTATTCATGAAGAAAACAAACTAATATTATACACAATAGATGCTTCTTTCGAATATATATTGAATCGACAAATGCAAAACATGACTTCCTCTTTCTCTTTTCTAAGTAACAGCCTACCGAATATGCTGAATTCCATGTAACAACAGTTCTTTTTGATTGACGATTGATACATGAAAACGGATTTACGATTTATCTATTATGAATCTTTTTTTTTCTGCACTATTTTTTTCAATCTTCCAAATTTCAGAAATAATTTGTTGCCCAACCTAATACAAAAGTATACACAACTTGTTTCTTATCAAAATGTATCCTCATTTACAAACACAAACTACTTATAAGGCGGCAAAACCCCAAATGACCGCTTTCGAAGATTTTATTCGTCGGTATAACAGTAGGTTCTTCTTTCACTATGAGAATTCTTCGTTAATTAATGCATGAACATAACTATCTATTTCTAGTTAATGAAACTTTTGCCACAAAGCTTCGTGGTCTACATGGTTACGAAATTGTTTTCGTATGTGATGATTCAGGTTCAATGCAAGCTCCGATCGGTAAAAATATTCATTTCTTGACTTCATCTTCATTTTTTAACGAATTTTTCTTTCAAAATTGAAGGACACGCTTCTGGTCCAGGCCAACAGCGATCAACTCGTTGTAAGTTCTTGTTTTCAATATTCTTCATAAAATACAAGATAATATAATATCACTTATGTTTTGTTTGTAAGGGGAAGAACTCAAAAAGACAGTATCAATCGTTGTAGATTTGGCGAGTACGCTGGATCCTGATGGTGTTGATATCTATTTTTTAAATCGAAAACCATTGCTAAATGTTCATAGTTCAAAAGAATTAAATAGTACATTTACTGTGCCTCCAAATGGTATCTATCATAGACATCTTTTGAATTGATTATTTTCTTTGAGATTATTTAAGGTGCTACACCAATTGTACGGATATTGAGACAAGTTCTGCACGATAAAAAACAAGAAATTCAAAAAAGAAAATTACTTATTGTTATAGCTACTGATGGTATACCAACAGATAATAATGGTCAACCAAATGTCCAAGAATTCTTCCAAGTTCTTGCACATGAACGTGTTCCTATAGATCGAGTTCCAGTAACAATTATGGTTTGTACAGGTGAATATTAATGTTCGAAATCTGAACGAGTTTCATTTGATAATCTAAGGGAAAATATGCTTGAGAAGTTTATTGCTCTATTTAATGAAACTAATATATTTTCTATCGTTTTTCTTATGTTATGTGATTGAAGATGATCATAAATGCATGTCATATTTAAATGATTGGGACCGAGCAATTCCGAATCTTGATGTCGTTGATAATTATGAAAATGAAAAACAAGAAGTTCTTGAAATGCAAGGCAGATCTTTTCCATTCAGTTTTGGTGATGTAAGTGTTGTTCGTGACATACAGCTTCAGATTTATATTTCATTTCTTCATTTTTATTTTCAGTACGTTGTTAAAATTCTTATGGGTGGCGTAGACAGTTGGTTTGATTTGTTAGATGAAAAAAAAGTATCACTCCATAGTCAATGATCATGTAAAGCAAAAACGCATTTCTGTTGTAACAATCAGTAATCTTTACCTTCGTTTGCCTTACGTTCTTTCCTATTTTATATTTTTTCATTTATTTTCATCGATTCTTCTTTACGAGAATCGCAAATTATATTTGGCTTTCAAGAAAACATCTAGGTATAATTTCAACAATCATCGTTATATGCATAAGACACTTTTTTTATTTCAATTCGTCGTCCTTCATAACCGAGAGAAAAATTGAAAGCATTTTGAATCAAGCTGTGATTCTTTTGATTTGGTTAACAATAAACAGTTTTGTAAACGAGAAATGTATTTCATTATCTTCTATTCTTGTCTGTAGTAAATACAACAACATATGTTTGCTCGAAAATTTACACTCCAAGTAAATATTGGGATTACTCGAATTCGAAAATCTCATGTGAAAGTTTAAAAAAAAACCGTTCTTTTGGTGAAGTAAATTTTTCTTGAATGGAAAATGAAGCAAACAGGTTTTAAGTCTTTCTTCATAATACCTATTGACGAAGAAACGTGAGGTTCAACTCAATGCAAATGAGTTTTATTTTCTCTGTGTTCAGTTTGATTTTCGTCAATCTTTCTTAAAAATCATTTCTTTAAGATATCAAGAGAAGATTGAGAGATAAATCAAGATCGGTAACTGAGGAGGTCATCAACATACACATTTTTTAAAGATAAAATGTTAAGGTAGTGTACTTTTACTTGATTAGTTAAAATGTAACGGAACATTTTAACCTAATGAAGATAAATACAAATATAACTGTGTTTACTCATGCTGACTATCAATACCGAGTTATATTGACCAAGTTGTCTTGTGTTTTTGAGAAAACAACTAAATCATCACTGGCTTCACAGTGGTCCTAGATTTCCTAGATTCGTTTTTTAAATAACTCTCAAAAAGTTCTCTTTTTCAAGATCATTTTCTGTATTCCCATAGTATTCTAAAAAACAAAAAAGATTTGTTTTGTAGATAATAGGTTATCCTGCAATATTTTATCTAATGTGTTGATGTAGATATCCTAACTAAGTTTACTACACAATGAATACGTATGCGTACTGTTATTTTTTTTTCGTCAACATAATTGATAAGTAGTGATCTGATTAATCTTAGTATTTTCTTAGAGTTTTGCTAAAAATAAATGACTTGTATCATAAAAACGGTCTAATAGCACTATCGGAATATATCGGTAGAGACTTGACTCAACCTCTTTCAGTAAACAGATAGTGGAAACTAAACAGTAAAAATAGTATTCAGTGGGTTTTTTGATGAAACATTTTTCTATCGGATAATAATGCTCTAGAACACGAGATGCTGTTCAACTAGCTTGCAAGCCATGCTAGTGATAAAGTCAAAACTCAAACAAAAGAAACTTTATCTCTTAGTTATGCACAATGTGTATTTTCCTCAACGAAATGACAGATAATTTATCAGATACTCATTTCAGATCATAATTACAAAACTGCTGAGTGACGGTGTCTGTCCTTTTAATGAAGAAATAGAACACGTCTTAGAAACTCTTCTCCTTCGCTATAAACTTTGAAAGATACCTTAGTATAAAACATGACTGAATTCATGATGGATGCCCTTTGTCCTTCACTGACGTTCACTTTAATATATATTACGATTGAGATTTTTGATTATTGATACAAATAGAATCATGTTTCATATATTAAGTTAATTCTAAATGTGTATTCAGTTTCATTTCGTCAATCATCATGTGAACATGTATGTGAAATAGGTGGAAAATGAATCGAGTACAATACTTTTGTTTTCTTACTTCAGAATAAAAATCTTTGTACTATTTTTCCTATTAGAATTCATTTATGTCAAGATGATACTATTAAAGTAATATTATCTTAAAAGGTAACATCGTAAATTACCAATGAATAGGTTTCGGATCCCGTAACCTTAAATGTTCCCAAATTCGTACAATTTGTTTCTGTTTCAGAAATACCAATTCTGGGAAAAAAACCTTTGTTCTATTATCGGATGCTTTCGAACATGAATTTTCATATGCATTGCCACAGGTAGTACATATTTATTAGTTAGAATCCAAAATAATGCTAATTTAATGGTAGCAGATAGTTAAAAATTAATTTTAATGCAACAAGAACCAAAGCATTAGAGTAAATTTTAATACTCATACAGAAAGAATAAACACTATTCTAATAATGTTATTAACCTGACACCTTCAGTGTATTGAAGAGTTGGAATATACTTTACATAGGAAAATAGAAAAATGTATTGCAAGAATGAGGACACAAAAGAAATTAAATTGGCCTACTAGTATTTTGCTTCACCAATTCTATGGAACCATATATTGACGAAAAGAGCATGTTGACACTAACATGTTCATACTAGATTTATGAACTTTTGATCGAAATTTGAAAACTAAACCCTATCAATCAAAGCAATGCGCATTTAGTTACTCTTCTAGAGATCTATTCTATCATGATGAATTCATTTTGAGAATAAGTAGAGAATACAACTATTCAACAAGATATAGATCTGATGTCTACTGGTCGTTACTGCTCTCGTATGTACCGCTTTGATGTGTTTTTCATGAATGTTCAGATAATTTCGATCAAAAAATTATTCAGCTTGCGTCAAAACAAATATCATATTAGAAATCAGTATAGAAAGCGGAGTTGATCTATGTCTGATTTTTCAAAATTTTTGAAACTGGTCCTTTTGAATGAAAACACTAATAATGAATTACATGAAAACAACGTTCAGACATTGTAATGAAATGTCGACTCTTTTTTAAAGCTATTACATAGCAAAATGGCAGATATCTATAGAAAATGAAAACAGAGCTTTCGAGCGAGTCTATTTTTTATCTAGTCTCTAAGGGGCACTAGTGGTAAATTTTCCGGCAAAAAAACAACCTCCAAAAGTCTCTTAAATCAAACAGAGATCAACTAAAATTTTTATTCTGATTCCGAACATCATACTATTATTTACTTACACTGAATTTTTCCGATCAGAATTCTTTAATATCGGTGACATAGCCATGAAATTGCGCCTAGAGAAAATTGTGTATGGAATCAGTTTTAGTACCCCTATGTTTGGATTTTGAATAAAATATATAACTTTCTAGCTTTTAAAAAAGACTGTCAAATAAATGATGCCGGAGTTTTGGTCATTTAAGTTTTTAAATACCATATTTTTTTTAAACAAAAAAGTGAAATATAAATATAGTAAAGATATTAGCACTGTCAACCAGAAGAGATTGAATCTATATCTCGATCAATGATACAACCAATTACTGATTTATATATGGAACTCAAAACTCAACCCGATAGCTTTCAACTTTCATTATTTCATTAGTCATTTATCTTATCTCTTTATTCTCAAAGTCACTGTGATACAATGGATCAGTATTATAATGATCAAAAATAGATTTCTTTCGTTGATAGCTTTTCATCATTAAACTTCTATCAAAATCTCATGAAACTAGCACCAAAATGTTAGTCAAAACATGTTATTTCGATTGATACATGACTCAACCGAGTGAAGAAAGAATAGAGTAGGCCGGTTGATTTAAACTGTTATGTACCCTATCCTTCAATATTGGAAAATTCAAAATGCTAATACTGTCACTGAGCTAATCAACCGTAACCATAAAGGATTGAAAAGAAAAATGAAAAAAAATTCGAACAAATAAGGCCATCCATGTGCAAGATATGAGAAAATAAATTGTACATAGTGTTAATACATTGATGAGAGAAAAACATTCAGGTAAGGTCGAAAAAAGAAAGCAAAAGAAAAGAGTAACTTTACTCATCATACGCAGTTGTAAATAAAACACAACATGGATTATACCAGCGCAAAGCTAGAAAAAAAATATCAGTTTAGGTTTTGTCAAGAACACAGAAAATCATCGATGGCAGTTTTTATAATCTTTTACAAGGTTTAATCAACAATTGCATTCATGATACCATTCATAAAGGTAACAAACTAATATTACGCATAGTAGATGTTAGTTCCAAATGATAATTATACTTGGAACTGAACATTATGCCTTTAATTTTCGCTTTTGGTGAGTAGAACCCGAGTGAATATGGTGGGTTTCTTTTTGATTGGAGACTGATTCATGGAAACATGTTTACGATTTATCTACTATCAATCTTTTTCTTTTTCACTTTTTTTGAATGTTTCAGATATATAGAATAATTTGTTATCCAAAGAAAATAAGAGTATAAACAACTTGTTTCTTGTCAAAATGTATCCTTCTCTACAATCACAAACTCTTCATAAACCGGCTGAAGAAAGTGTAGTCGTTTTTGAAAATTTTGTTCGCCGGTATAACAGTAGGTTTCTCTTACAGTATAAGAGTTCTTCATTAATCAATGCATGAACATGACTATCTGGTTTTAGTTAATGAAACTTTTGCCTCAAAGCTTCGTGGTCTACGTGGTTATGAAATCGTTTTCATATGTGATGATTCAGGTTCAATGCAAGCTCCGATCGGTAAAAATATTCATTTCTTGACTTCATCTTCATTTTTTAACGAATTTTTGTTTTGAAAATTGAAGGACGCGCTTCTGGTCCAGGCCAACAGCGATCAACTCGTTGTATGTTTTTATTTTACTTATTCTTTATAAAATACAAGATAATATAATATTACTTATGTTTTGTTTGTAAGGGGAAGAACTCAAAAAGACAGTCTCAATCGTTGTAGATTTGGCGAGTACGATTGATCCTGACGGTGTTGATGTCTATTTCCTAAATCGAAAACCATTGCTAAATGTTCATAGTTCAAAAGAATTGGCTCCCACATTTGCTATACCTCCAAATGGTATCTATCATAAACATCTTTTGAATTGATTATTTTCTATGAAACCATTTAAGGCTTAACACCAATTGTACAAATATTGAGACAAGTTCTGCACGATAAAAAACAAGAAATTCAGAAAAGAAAATTACTTATTGTTCTAGCTACTGATGGTATACCAACAGATAATAATGGTCAACCAAATGT